TTTGATGGCTACAGTAAAGCTGGTAAAATGTGGCGATGAAATAGGACATAGATAAGAGTATATCAATAAACGAAATGTGCAGACCTTTTCGAGTTATCAGAAGTATATGACGTCACTATGACTTTTTCGATAATTTTAACTCCAGTAGGCTTCCGCCATACTTCTCCACAATACGCAATCTGCGAATAGCGAATCGCTGTTTACAAAATCAAACGTGTGTAGACACATGAGGGTGGCTATACTGTTGCGTGAGCAATTCGCATTTTGCAACGTCGCTTGACGCTGCCTCAGCATATGGGATTGGAACAAAATTTTTGATTTTGTTGCGAGTAACTGTTGTAGAAAATTTTCTAATAAGGATGTCGCGTTTTGCTCTTGTATGGCCACTCTGTCTCTTTTGCATCTGTGCGACTTCTCATTTTGCTATTCGCGCATTGCGTATCGCAGAGAAATATGGCCAAAGCCTTACATGACAAAAGTTTAAGCGTGCGAATTTGATGATTCAAAACGAATCAAACTTTCTGTCTTTTGTACGGAGCAGAAACAACAAGCCCATTTTTTGGTACAAGATTTTGTTTTTTGGCTTATTCGATTCTTCACAGAGTAGAAAATTGGGCGGTTCCAAGTTGAGTCCCAGCATGTCATTTTTCCCTAATTGAGTCCAAAAAAGTCACAGATGAAATACAAAAACACCAAATTGAGTTTTATAATAGTGGGGTGTGAAAACAAAATTAACGGATTGAGTCCCACCATATTATATGGTCAACATTTTTCAACACTTTTCCCCTCTCTGTTTAACTCGCGTCTTATAGGAGCTCAAGTTCTAACATTTATTTTTTCCAAGATTGAACTAAGGTAAGCACCGTTTATTATGATCACTAGTTAATCTGATCAACTTCTTATTCTGATCAAAATGAGCCAGAACCAATTCAAATAGGCTTTTCCCATATGTTTTTTACCTGTCACTATGATCTTTCTACCGGTTAATCTGATCATTTTTCCCCCCGAAAAATACACACAACATACTCTTGACCCATCCGCCCCTCTACATTGGACCGGAGCCAGTCAAAGACTAAAGGTCACTCTCGTGAAAATCTGCCAAAGTGAACTCGAAGAAAAAAGTCTACGAAAGCGAAGAAGGTGGACAAATGGGGCGCTGGAGGTGAAGGTGTCGAGCTCGACTACACGGTGACCTGTTAATCATAATTTCGACCAAAGTTACTCCGTTTGCGAGTGTGTTTCGGACAAAGCGATGATTAACGGCCTTCGGTTTGCCAGCGCCACGACGAGAAAGCAGCCAGCAGCTCCGGCAGCCGCAGCACAGCATACAGTCGCTAAATGGGGACGACGTTTTCTGGACGACCACCACCGCCGCTCCAAGTGCCGGCACACCGAAAGAAAAACCACGACTTTTTCGAGCGACTACAGCCTTTTTCTCATCTCTCTTCAGCTCGTGGCCACCCTTTCGTCGTTTCTCGTCCGCCACCACCCTCCCATTTTTCTTGCGAAAAACTTCGCACATACACGTCCACACCCCCACCCACCCCCACATTCGTACCCCTCATCTCGTCGATGCCCCCAAACAATGGGTTCGCGACGAAAATGCTAAATTAGCCGCACGGTAAATTCCTGCGATACACAAATAATTCCCCTCCCCGCACCCCTTAACTCTTTCACTACCACCTCCCCAAGACTGTCATCCGTCGCCTGCGGTTCGGTCAGCAAGGCGACTGTCTTGGCGTTTCACCATTATTCATATTTTCGTCCGGCCTTCGCGGATACTCGCGCGTTAATTTTCTCCCCAAATAAATGGCGAAATTAGCGCTCCCCCGGCCACCCACCCCCTCTACGACGATCTCTGTCCATTTTTCGACTCTCTCCAGCCTTGGCTCTGCACTCGCCATATCGTGTACGTTAACTTTCGTTGTTTTTTGCAGCTTCTTTCTTTTTTCTCTCGCAATCCGATGAGGTTCTTTTT